AACTTGAACCACAATTGGGCATATTTGGGAGAAAGAAATATCACTTTTTGGCATACTCAGGTTTTAGTAATGTGTGCCAGATTAACTGACTCATCCATAATCAAATCATGAGTGAAAGTACCTTCTTATATACTGGTCTGGCATTTAATGGCAACAGCCAGCACCACTGAGGTTCTGGTGACCTAATATTAGAGATGAATACTGAGAACTGGAAGACAGATCAATCTCAAATGATCAACACTTTCTTATGAGTAGCCCATTTTCACAATTCCATCTTAATTTATCCATCACCACCCTGATGATAAGTGCTTGTGATGTCTCTCTCCCACAACTCAACTCCTTCCCAATTCCTGCCTTCCCTCTCTCAGCCTATGGGGCCACCTTATCTCAAGGGTCCCTCCCTATCTCATAGTCCATTCTACAATTCTTTCTCAACAATAAGCTGTATCAAAGTTTACTGTCCTTGGCTCTCTTTCTGCCTTAGCCCTATTTTACTGGTTACCAATTTGAATAATTAGCAACATTTTCTTCAGTATATACATCTCTCTCACTTTGTGGATTAATTATGCATGTATGATATGTGGGAATGTGTGTTTATATACAGTAGAATGTGTATATAAAGAAGATGCAAAAATTGCTGTGTTATATGGAGATAAATGTTTCTGAAACTATTACAGTTAGCTGCCTAATTTCCTACATTATTACATTTGTCTACAGTATAGAACAGAGCTTCTCAATCTTGGCAATTTGAAGACATGTGGACTTCAATTCCCAGAATCCCCCAACCATTCTTCAAATTGCCAAGGTTGAGAACATTGGTTCAGAAAATACCCTGTTTCTCCCAAAATAAGACATCCCCTGATAATAAGCCTAATCGGGCTTTTGAGTGCATGGCAATAAGGCCAAGCGCTTATTTCAGTGTTCAAAAAAAATATAAGACAGGATCTTATTTTCGGGGAAACACAGTATGTAGGTGATTAATACAGTGAGCAGCCATGCTTCATAAGTCACTTATGCAAATCTTTCCCCTATATTTTTCTTCTCTTATCAATAAATGATATTTTTACTCTTCCAAGCAATCTTCAAAAATAGGAAGTAGAAAGAGTCATTAGTGGGCCTTTATTAAAAGTTGTACAGTTGATGATAGCATATACCTGTTAATGTCCAATTTTATGAATATATTAAACTTAAAATTCCAGTGTGAAATGTACATGTGGGTGAAAATCCTATGATTTTGTGTTTAGTTAGTATGTTAATTTTAATTCAAAATATCTGGAAAAAAAATCTCAATTTCAAAATATGTTTTTTCCCTGAGGCCATCTATGTTTTTATCAAATTTTAAGGCTGTTATCCTTTTAATGAATTCTGGGCATTCAACAGACACTATAAATATACAATAAAACATACAGTCCCACATGTAGCCTGGCTCCATGCCATGTAGATCTTTAAAGTGAGAACCAACACCTTAAAATACACTCAGAAGCTAACTGGAAATCAGTATAGTTGAAGTAGCTGTGGTGTTATGTGGCATACTGTGGTGTGGCCGGTAGTGCACATAGTGCTGCATTTTGGACTAACTGAAGTTTGCAAATGCTTTTCAAGTATAGTTCCTATCTTAAGCTCATTGCAGTAGTCCAATCAAGAAATGCATTAGTAACTCTGAACAATGTCTTCCAATCAGAAATAGGCACAACTGGCACACAAGATATATTTGTAAAACAGTCCTTCTAAATATAGCTGCCACCTGGTCCTTGAGCAAGAGCTGTTAGTCCAGGAGAACCCCCCTTCTCCTATTGCCCACCAACTCTTCCTGGGGGAATATAATTCCATGAAGAGTTTATGATGGAAAATAACCACATATGGATGGTACTGAAATCCACAGCCATTCAGTCTTGTCAGGGTTGCATTGAAGTTTTTCCCCATCCAGACACACAGCTCTCAGGCAGTGGGAAAGCATTTTAATAGCATCTCTTGGATGGCCCTAGGCAGTGCTATACAATTTAGTAGCATGATGAAATTACATTCTTTGCCAATAGTCTATGGAGAGTCTCAGTTATCCAGCTCATGGTTGTCCCAAAGGTGCTTTTTTTCAGGAGGCAACTGGACTTTCTTGTTTTTTCTTTGAAGATGTTTTGCTTTTCATCCAAGAAGCTTCTTCAGCTCACTGAATGGTGGGGAATGGAAGGATTTACATTCCTTGCAGACAGCTGGTAATTTGTATTCTTTTAGACAGTCGTTGAGGCCACCTGGAGGTTTATCTGTGTCCTCAGGGTCACCTGAGTAGTGCAAATGGGTGTGGAGTCTTCTTGGCTGCAGAATGTTTTCTGCCCTGTGTCCCTTTTCTGTTGAAGACAGGTGCAGGCTACTGGGGATGAGTCCACGCTGTCTGCACTCCAAATTGAAGCACAAATGGCTCCTGCAATCCGCAGTTCTTCTGGAAAATCCATTCAAACTCCCACACCATTCGAAGGGTGTTTTTTTTTCTTTGAAGAAACTTCTTCAATGAAAAAGCAAGAAAATCCAGTTGCCTCCTGAAAAAAGCTCCTTTGGGATTCCTTGCCAATGGATAACTTCACCCATCAGTTTCATTTAGTTGTTTAACATGAGTAGAAAAAGAGTTGAACCCTCTGGCACCCCACATAGCAGAAATATAGTTGTCCAATGCACCTGGGTGCAGCGATCGCCTCTTGAGGGGATGGCTGTTTCCTCCTTCAATGCAGGTAGAAGTATCTCCTCTTGCTGAGAGGCATTTTTCATCACTTGAATACAGCCATGTGTTACTTCCCTGGAGATACTAATCATCCAGGAAAGGTATAAATTTAACACACAGGTGGCACTTCTTTGGAAATGACCACATAGAACTCAAACCAGATAACTGGACAAGACTGTACCTTAATCATGTCATTTTATTTACTTCTGTATCTTTGAAAACTAGGGGACTCTCCAGGATTTGTATAGGAATGACCTGAGGCAAGGCCGCCAACACTTGCTCATTCCAAGCAGAGACTATATTCTCAGCTAAACAATGTATATAACTTCAGGAACTACACCAAGCTCCCTGTGAAACCCCAGTGAGTCAATCAGTCACATGGGGTGGGTACACTGCATTGTCCCTCTAGAATAAGTGTTATATTTACCCAATGGGCAGACCAACCCCAGTATTTATTTGCATTAGATCAGTTCTATAATTAGTTAGTAGGAAATAACAAAATGGTATTAGAAAAAAAAGAGGAAAGATGGGTCCCCCAGAGCAGATCTTATAAAAGTTAGCTTTTATTTTCAAGTGCAATACAGGTAGTCCTTGATCAATGACCATAAGGACCATTTGTTCATCAACCATTTGAAATTGTGATGGTGCTCTCAGGTGTGAACAAACAGACCCACATGTGCAGAATTCAAGCTAACCACTTTATTATGTTCTGCCTATAAAATGGGAATCTCTCTGGTCTGGCAGCCTACCCATGGGAACAATTAGACAAGGCTTCAAATTGGGGGTGGGTTGGCCTAAGCCCTTTTGCAAATGCACAGTGACTTTAGACTACCTCTGCGCTTGGTTCTTCCTCCCTGCCAGGCTGGATGCTTCTCAACAGGTGCTGAACAAGTACTACTTATGACCAGTCCTTGACGTTCTAACCATTACATAGGATTGTGATCTGGGTGCTTGGCAACTGGCTCACATTATCCCATGGTCACAGTCACCTTCCCTGCTGGCTTCCCACCAACAAAGGTCAATACCGCAAGCAGGGAAGATTGCAAGTTACTACCACCTCTTTTTCTCCCAAGGGACCTCTGCAGATCGTGGACTGCATAATGTGGGCTTAGGTTGCAGCATCCCTTTCTTAGCCTGCTTGCACTTTCTCAGCATCACAACATCTATTCAACCTATGGTACTTGCATGTGTGTGGCACTGCACCAACCCTTTCACAGCCATAAGTCTTCACTTAATGACCTGCACTTTTTCCTTAATGGCAACAGGGATTGCCAAGATTGCCATCTTTAAGTGATGTGGTCTTGTGACATCATACTTTACAATCTTATTGTTTTACAATGGAAATTCTGGTCTCAAATACTGTCTTTAAGTGAAGGACAACCTGTAGGCATCAGTGCTGAAGAAAGATTTAGTTGCTAGTCCAGGTAGCTTTCATACATGAAATTGAAACAGATGCCGTTTTATTTTTGGCTTTGGTTAATATCAGGTCTTAGTTAGGCCCTGTGTGCACATTTTATTTTGTAGAGATTTCTAACAATATTAGAATTTGGAATTATTATGCCTTTTGACTTTAATATTAGAATTCTGATTCAGATAAAGCAAATTAAAATAATTCTACCCAAAAAATATTTGCTTCTAGCTTCATTGTCTTCTATAATTCAATTGAGTGAAGATCTGTTTTTTTTATCCACAGTCATAAACGTGTGTGATATCTTTAGTCATTCAGACATATTTTAATAAATTATTCAGTAAAACTTGATAACATCATTTTACATTTATTTCTAAGGGTTTCAACCAATAATTGTTAATTTCATCTATATAGTTTTTACTTTTTTCTTGATTCATAAGCTAGAGGTTGTTAATAGTTATACATTTTGAATGAAATTAAGTTTGTATAAAATTGGAAAATATTAAGGCAGCTATTTGTTTGGGTTTTTGAGGACTTAAATTTTACAAAGCAAAACTATGATGTGAATGCTCAATATATTGTTTACACATACATAAAACCTTTGATACTAATATGCCAATACTATGGGATTTGATTGTTGTTCAAAGTGATGTCTATTTAAACATAACTTTTTCCAAGGAGCTTGCTGTTTAATAGAGTATATTAGTTTCAGTTCCTGAAATTTATAATATATTCTAAAATGTGAGAAAAGCACTTTGTGCAGTAGTCCTCTTCCTCATCATGTACTAATAATGCTCATACATCTTGCTTTAAATGGAGACAGAACATAACTTATTACCTTGTACGGATTTAAAACAAAAGTTTCTTTCTTCTCTTCCTAAGGCCTATCCATGATGCAGTGGAAAATGATCACCTAGAAATTGTCCGATTGCTCCTTTCTTATGGCGCTGACCCTACGCTTGCTACATACTCAGGTAGAACAATTGTGAAAATGACACACAGTGAACTAATGGAGACTTTTCTAACAGGTGTGTATACTTTTGATTGTGCCAATGCTTGTCCATTTGCAATTTGATATTCTACAAAACATAAATTACTTTTCAGATAACAGTAAAAGTAAGGATTGTGGTTTCAGATATTTTGTTGCTTAATTTACAACAGAAATACACACTATTTAATACAGTATTTAAATACTGTGTATTTTTTCACAGCATTAATATTGTTAGTTAAAATGCTAGTAACTTAGTCTTGCAGGTAGCTCATAGATCTCTTCATCTGTGGCCCTCAACAGTGGTCAATATTATGATGTCATCCAAATTTAGGAATGTGGGGAGAGACGTATGAATAACCAGTATGAAATGTACAGTCAGTGACATTTTTTCAATTAGTATACTGCTTTCCTCTTTTTTCATACGTTTCCATTTATCTGTTTTGCAATTGGAAATACTAAAACTATTTTCTCCCAAACAAAATAGTCTTATTTGAGTATTAATGCAATTAACAATTAAAATGAACAAAGCAAGAAATACTAAAACAGCAAAAATAGCATTAACAGTGTACATACTTGAGCTGGGGGAGTTCTCATAGTTAAAACAGAAAATGTTTTATAACATATTATGGCAGAAATTTTTATGATAACTTTTATGTCATAAAATATTATGCCTGCCTGCCTGCCTGCCTGCCTGCCTGCCTGCCTGCCTGCCTGCCTGCCTGCCTGCCTGCCTGCCTGCCTGCCTGCCTGCCTACCTACCTACCTACCTACCTACCTATCTATCTATCTATCTATCTATCTATCTATCTATCTATCTATCTATCATGCTGCCCATCTAACTGTCAAACAACTCTTGAGTGTTTACCTTACAGCTCATGTGTATCCTCGTACATTCCCATTCATCATCAACTAAGTTCAGGTTTGCATTGTCAATTGTGCTTTCAAAGTTCACGGCATCAAAAAAAGATCTAGTGATGAAGGTGTTGAAGATCTTGTCCTGATCATGTGAAACAAATGTATCTTTAGCAATTGTAGCCTAAATTTTATAGCTCATATCTCCACAATCAATTTGAAGCACACAAAACTGAATACTAAAAGTAGGATTTGGAGGTTGTTGAAAAGTAAATGAAAGTAGAATAATTCTATTTGAAAAGAAATAAGATACCTGATATTACTGTATTTTTCAGAGTATAAGATGCACTTCCTCCCCCTAAAAGTGGGTGGAAATGTCTCTGCGTCTTATACAGCAAATTTTGCCGAAGCCCCACCCACCCGCCAGCCCCAACCCGCCAGCCGTTTTTGGCCTCCATGCGCCAAAAGGACGCGTGGAGGCCAACGCTGCAAGGACGCTAGTCAGATCAATACCAATGGATGCTGGTAGGCAGAGACAGAATTTTTTTTTCTTGTTTTCCTCTGCAAAAACTAATGTGCGTCTTATACTTGAGCATCTTATACTCCAAAAAATACGGTACTTCACTTAGAGTTCTGCTGTATTCTGATTGATACTTTATGTTAATACTGTATGCTTTCAGATAAGTATAAAACCTGTATAGATTATATTTTGTCATGCTATGATAGATTGGAAACTTCCCAACTTTTGGGGCGTTTTTCAATGTTATATTGTTGTATCTCTCTAGAATATTTAACTGATCTCCAAGGTCGTGATCTTGATGACCCTGGCTTGTCCTGGGACTTCTATGGCAGCTCTCTGTGTGGTAAGAAGACATGTTTTGGGGTGGGGGTGGGGGGCAGGGTTCTACTATTTCAAATGTGTGCATGTATATGTATGGGGAGGGGGCAGAATTCACAGAAGGGAGAGCAAATTAAAAACAGGGAATGAAAGGAGGAAAAAGCCACTGTTTGACAAAGGATCTTCAATTATTTTTTTGTTTGTTTAAATAGAGCCAAAAGGCGAATCAGGATTTGACATTCTGTCTAATCCACCTGGCCCAAATGATGAAAATGAAGATGGATTTAGTGATATCTTTGAGTTTGAATTCTCAGATGTGTCTCTCTTGCCATGTTATAACATCCAAGTGTCTCTTTCTCAAGGGTAAGCACTATTATTGTTTATACTGGAGGGGAAGATAAATTGTTTTCCCAGTGTATGTTAATGTACAAATATCTGAGTTATTATTGACACATTCAAGATCATCTTTTTGTCTCACTGAATGCAGTGAACTTTTTGTTATTCATTCTGTTAGAAATAGGTTTCATATCCTATGTCTTTTGAACATAAAAACTCCCCATAGATTGGCTTCTTTAAAACAAGAGTTGTTCATATTCAGTGTAAATCTATTTATCTGAATATATGCTGATATTGCAGACATATTCACAGGGAAAAACTTGTGGCTTGGTGAAGTTTATGAATCCAGACCAAGATTCGTGTGAGAGCAGGGCATGTGGAAGGATGGAGGGGAGAGAGAAAAAATACTGCTCCATTGTGTGAACAGATGTTTGCTTGTTTAAAGCTAGATTTCATCCATGAGTTTACTGGAGGAGGGAGCAGGAAGAGTACAGAAGAGTACAGAGACTCACCTATTTTTAAAATCTCTTTGCCTTAAATATAAATGTATATAAAATTATTACTAGCAGAATCAGGTTGATTGAAACCTCTCAGCATCTTGCCAATATTTTACTTTTGTCTCTAGACCACGGAACTGGTTTTTGCTCTCTGATGTAGCCAAGAGGCTGAAAATGTCACCCAGGATATTTCGCTGCAGTTTCCCAAGTTTGGAAGTTGTCAGTGTTATAGAAGCAGAATTTTTCAAACAGGTATCTTTGAGTCAGCTGTTTGCTTGCCAAAAGGATCTTGAAGCTTTCAACCCAGAAGGCAAGGAACTGTTGGACTTGGTAGAATTTTCTAATGAATTACAATCTTTGCTTGGAGCCTCACTTGAATGGTTGCATCCAGATGAAGAAATTGATATTAATTGGTGAATCTCCCAGCTTCTTAATGTACAGTTCTGTGTAATATATTTCTTTATGTATATGTGTTACTGCAGTTATTTCTATCAAGAAAAGGATACTGTTAAATAAAAGAGCTTTCCTCTAATACATATATGCCACACACAAACATATCAGATGGGTGGACTTTTGGAAGATTTTTTTTTTAAAGAGACCACTCTGTTTCTAGAAATTATAAAATTGGTAAAATGTGTGTGCACGTTCCAAGTGCAGACGAACTTTGGTATAGATTTGTTTTTACATGGAACTAAATGGCTTTGCTTCAAACAAAGCATTGGTTACATAAAAATGCCTATTATAGGTGATATGATCAATATTGTTAGTTTGGGAAAGTTTATTGGGGGAGGCACTTCATTATATTTTTGTTTTTGTTTACAAAAATTCCTGCTTTGATCAGGTACACACTATTGAATACAATTCAGTAGACTGTAATATAAATTAAAACTACATATCTACTAATTGTGTGAACTTTTATATCTTAATTTAAAGATGTGAAATTTAGTTTTCACATGGCAAACTGGATTGTTTATAATATATATGTATAGATACACACACACACACACACACATTTTATATGTGTGTGTTTAAACATTTGATGCTCTTTATTTAAAAGAAAACTTTGAACTATTTTTCTGTAAAATACTGAAAACTAACCTATGTTGAAGTTGTTTAAAACTGTACAGAAGCTAAATCTTTTTTCTGAATTGTGTGTTTATGTTTGAGATTTGTGTTTGAACTTTGTACGTAAATTCTTCTGCCTTTGTATTTATATTTTACAAAAAAAGATGCCAAAGGCAATAAAACTGTTGAAAAAGCAGTGCTGAAATAACGTTTTTGGTATGACCTTTGAGTGAACTGAGAACCCAAATGGTATCTCTTTTTCCCCATGAGTAGAATTGTGTGGACTCCTTACCCGGAAAGAAAGGAAAATTTTCAGTCATTTTTCAGTCATATACTAATCCCTCTTCATTCAAAACTACACCCCCACCCCCAAATTGTGGGTACTCCTTTATACCATAGGACAAGATTTGGCTGTAGATGTCTGCAGATGGGATGGGAGGAGGGGATTGGAAATGACAAAATATGTATCATGAAATTGTAACAAATTCTAACCTTTGCATACATACATATGACATTGCAGATTTTTTTTAAAGAATGATTTTTGTACCAAACACATTTTGTAATTTTCTATCTTCATGGTTGATGTATGGGTTTGTCATTATGTTAACTCCAATATTAATTAATTATTTATGATGTGTTGGACACAAGCAGCAGTGTTACAAACATTTTATTGTGTTAAATGTTAGATTTGTTTACCAGGTTTAATAGACAAGAAATTTTTTAAACATTGTGGAAATATTTTTAGGAGTTTCTATTTTCCTATCTCCCATTTAATATTCAGCATGAATGGCTGGTGATAGAATTTGTTAGAGAAAACTGCTTGTGTCAACAGAATAATGTCAACATTATTCAGCAGAAAGAAGATAAATCTGGACAATTCGGTTGGTGGATATAAGGATTCAGTTGCTCTATGGAGAATTCTCTGTGGTGGCTCTAAGCCCGTGATGGCTAACATATGGCATGCGTAACTGCACTGCGCATGCGCTTCCTGCCAGACAGCTGTTCTTTGGGTCTCTGCCGCTCATGCACAGGGGGTGGGGCGCATGCGGGGTTGCACATGCACATGCGGGGTGGGGTGCATGCGCAGGGGGCAGGGTGCATACGGGGATGCATGTGCACATGCGGGGGTGGTGCACATGTGCAGGAGGTGCATGCATGGGGGGTGCTCACATTGCATTTTGGGGGTTTGTGCGTGCCCCATTTTGGGCCTGGAAAGCCTCCTGCACCAAACTGGAAGCCAAAACAAGGCGGGGGGGTGGGACGCATACGCGGGGGAAGCCGGGGGGCATGCGTGGGAGGCGTTCACATTGCATTTTGGGGGTTCGGGCACACACACATACATTTACGCGTGGGTGCACTTTGGGCACTTGGCATCAAAATGGTTAATCATCATTGCTCTAAGCTGTTGAATGAAGTCAGGTAACCCTTCCTCAGGAGCTATGCATTTCTTCACTGGCTGTACTGTGTATTCTTCGTCTTCTGCTGCTTACTGGAGATGAGAAGGGTACATAGATAAGGTCCCCCTCTATAAAAACACTATAATGGGTAAAGCACTATAATGGGTAAAGCATAATTTTCATCTTTTTCAAAAATAACTTTATAGATGAATTGCTTGGAAAATCATCTAGAAAAAAGTCACACAAAGATGCTAAATTATGGTTTAAATATATTTACACATCAGTTTCAGATCCTCTGTTGAATATGTCCTACAATTCAGTGGTGGCTGGCACCGCTACCAGATCGTGCGAACTGGTAGCGGCAGCAGGAGGCTCCGCCCACCCGCCTGGACGTCTGTGCGCATGCATAGAAGCTTCTATGCATGGGCAGAAGTGGTGTGTGTGTGTGTAAATGGATGTGTGCCCACGAGTGAACCAGTGGCGACCGAAATTGAAACCCACTACTACAATTTTTATTCAAGTTACACTGCAGTGCCCAGGTTACAACTTTATGAAGATGTTGAAAGCTGAGATAAGATACAGAGAATAGGCTGAATGGGATAACTTTATTGAAAAGAATGCTGACACTTTTAAAATACGAAATGCGAAAGTCACTTTTTCTGATGATGTAAGACGCAGATGTATTCCAGAGATTGGTATTTACTATAAAAGCACATCCAAAGTGTATATAACCATCGCTAATGAAATAATAGATCTTTTATTTTTGGTTTATTCATTGCTTAAAACACTTTTTGCAGCAGTTTAACCTACAAAACCCTATGTAAAACAGAAATTATAAACCTGTGGTCTACAGAGTAAGTTGCAGTAAACTCAAGGGGTGCTTTTCAATTAACATGCTAAACAATGCTATAGAGCAGACATGTCAAACTCAAGGCCCCAGAGCTAGATACGGCCTGCAATGTGGTTAGTTCTGGCTCATGGGGCTGCCCTGGAGATGGCGAGGGGCCAGCCCCTGCTGATTCGACCCCAGCCGAGCCTGGCTGGATGCTCCCCCTGGAGCGCACGGGGGATGGTACACAGTTGACCTGTGATGAGCATTGTCTTGCCCCGCAGGCTTACTATGTTCCAGCACTGTGTGGCCACTACGAAATTGTAGTAGAGCATCACATAGAGCCCCAGCAACAGCACCGCACCTGCCATCAGCGCCTCTGATGCCTCTATGGCCCGCTCACCAGCCAGGCTCACCTGCTGGCCCCGCAGCCCACAATAGCAATAGCAATAGCACTTAGGCTTATATACCGCTTCACAGTGCTTCACAGCCTGCTCTAAGCAGTTTACAGAGTCAGCATATTGCCCCCAATAACCTGGGTCCTCATTTTACTGACCTCGGAAGGATGGAAAGCTGAGTCAACCTTGAACGCAAAATTCTTCCCAAGTTTTATTCTTCAGCAGCTAGTATTACAGATAGAGGTAGCATTGAAGCTGTTTAGATTATCTGGCACTGTCAGTGAAATTTGCCTTCAAAAGCTATTCTTGCTAGTGGTACTGGAGCCTCATTTTATGTTGTGCTTTTAATCTCTACTCCATCTGCCCTTACTTTCCCCCCTCCCCTTCTAAATTAAAAATCTTTTAAGTATTGTAACTTTTCTTTGACCTTTAAATGCTTCACCATTGTCTATATTAGTATACCAAGCATGAGATGCAAAAACTGGATACATCATTAGGCAGCAACATTTATTTATTTTATTTATTTATTTTTAAAATTTTTATACCGCCCCCTCTCCCGAAGGACTCAGGGCGGTGAACAGCCAAAATTAAAAACACACAATACAAATATTAAAATACTTTAAAACGAAATTAAATTTATCATTGGCTTCCCCAATTTAAAACCCCTTACCCATAAAATTCCCCAATTAAAAGATTTTTAACCCAGCCCGGCTTGCTGAAATAAAAAAGTCTTAGATTTGCTTTACCTTTTTCTTGTCTTTCAGTACTATGTATGTTTTATTTCTAATCCATATATTGTAGCCCAAAATCAGTTCAGAAAGAGAGATTATAGAAATCAGTCTGCAAAATGATCATCTAACTCAACACTCAGGCATATTTTCACAAGAGGATTAATTTTATATAGGCCTTGAGACTTCCGGTTTGGCATTGCGGTGAGACAGTCGGGGAAATAGCGGGCTCTGATGAGCGCCGTGAAAACCCCGGATGCCGAACCGCCGCCAATGGGTCTTCGGACCGGAATCATCCTGCAGGGATGGGGAAGAAGGAGGGGTACCTCGGATGACCAAGAGGAACAGGCAAGTTCCTTGGAGGTCAGAGGGAACCCTCTGTGAGTCGGTGGCGGGGGCGGCAGCCATGGCGGCTGCCACGAAGCTGGGACAACCAGGCTAAGAGATGTGCAGGAGGAAAGTGGAGTGAAACAGAGCTTTTTGAAGCCGGGTGAGTGACAACCAACCCAGGCTTGTAACAATGCTTAGAGCAATATTTTTAACTATAAGACCCCTAGCTTTAAAACAGCGGCTGAACAACAAAAGGGCTATAGAAAGGTTAAAATGTAACTTTAAAGAGACAAAGACCCGATAAACAACTAACTCTTGAACAGAACTAATGGGATTAAATATCGAGACATGGTGAAAAGACTGGATATTTTAAAATTTGAACTGGATCTTAAAAAAGAAGATTTGATATTCTTAAAATCAAAGGAAGAAGAGTAATTAAATTGGACTGTTATATAACTGAAACAAAATGGATACGTGCATGACTAATGGAAAATGTGGATTGTAGAGGGACACCTTCTGGCTTAAAAAGGAACATTGCAATTCATCTTTGTTATGGAAAATTCTGAACTTTACAGATAATAGCCTTGGGATTTTGTGGAGGAGGTTTTTCTTCTTGTCTGCAGGCAGTTTGATTTTGGTGAAAAGAAAAGGAAATTATAATGGAACTCCTATAATTGAAACAATAATAATTTAAAAAACTGGCACAGGAATAAAAGAAGGATCTAGAGCAAGCTCAAGAGAAGGGAACTTACTGCATTATATCCAGAATAAAAATAAGAAAAAGATTTAATATGACATATGGAGGACAAAATTTGAAGACTTTGAAAATGAAGGAAATATTTGCTAGCAGGTGAGAAAATGAAGAAATAAGGAATACACGGCTGGAAGATTAAAACAATCTGTTTAAAAATGAAATAATGTATAGGTGGATAGTAATAATAAAAAGGAGGTTTTTATAGACAAATATGGATGAATAAGAATATGAGAAAAATGTGACATAGATATATAAAATTGAAATATTAATGGAAATTAGAACATAAGAGAAATTAATCTTGTGAAAAGAGATTTATAAATATATACAAAGGTATGTTTTAAGTAAGAACCATGTCTCAATGTTAAACTGTCAAAAAAAAAAAGGGATAATGACAAATTTGATTAACTGAAATAAACAATGTATAGATGGATGGAAACAATCAAATGAGGACCATGCTGGGATTAATAGTAACATTAACTATGATTATGCTGTGTTTAACAGGCAAAAAATAAAAATGATTATACTGTGTTTAATAGCCAAAAAACAAAAATGACTATGCTGTGTTTAACAGCCAAAAAACCCAAAAATAATTATGCTGGGTAGGACAGCAAAACAAAGAGGATTTTGCTGGGAGTAACAGTAAAAATGAAATGATTATGATCATAATCATAAAGATAAAGATAATCATAAAGATAAAGATAATCATAAAGATAATGATTATTATAAAGATAAAGATAATCATAAAGATAATGATGCTGGG